AACAAAATTCATAAATCCATTTGAATATTTTGATAACATGAGCTGCATTTGTTTTGTCTTGAATAAAGTGTTCATGAGTCATGATTAATCATCTTAACTATGGGGTTATTCTCGGAAGCATCATGAGTCATGATGCTCAGTCCATTAGTTGTTTCTTTGACTTTGTCTTGGCAGTTGTTGATGGACTTATGTCCCCTTGTTCTGATCATCGACATCCAAATGTAAATATTTGGATGATTAATATTTTCCGATCTGAAGCAATTTGTATTCAGAGACTTGCACTAGTAGCTTTTGTACAGAATTATAGTGATTTATCTTGGTATAGTGGTCTCTATGATTGACTATGAACCCAAATGTAAATCATTCTCTCCATGATCTTTACATGTTTGTTGTTTACATGATACAAGGATTTGATTAATGCAAATCAAACCGATGTGTACTGCACAATTTTTTTTTGGTGTTTTTTCTTTTAATTTTTCCAGGAGTAGACCTTTGGGTGGATTTGTTAAGCTCAATTTTTCTAGAGATAGAAGTTGTTTCTCTTCAGTTTGGTAGGGAGCTTGGTCTTTCTTCTGAGTATGTTAAGGGGGATAATAAGGTTATACAGGTTGTACCTAGGTGTGCCAATAAGGCTGCTGACTTCTTAGCTAAGTATGGTTTAAATGTCTACAGGGCCTAGACAAAAAGTCATTTCCTGCAAACAAAGATAGGGAAGTTTTGGAAAGCCAGTATATGCAGGGGTTAAGTAAGAAAGCAGACCAGCGTAAAACATGATTCCTTTGGCAATTTGTTGGACCCTCTTGGTCAAAAGGAACAGTCACATCTTTGAACACAGTGCATCTTAGAGGATATGTTGGCAAGGAAACTGGTGAGAAGGCTGTAGTCATGGTTGTCTATTCATAAAAGTTTCAGAGGGTCGAGAATTTTCCTCTTGTAAAGTGCTATCTGTAAACAGGAATGCATATTGCCATATAGATCCTATTGTACATTCCCAATATTTGGTGCCTATACAGGGGTCTTTGTAACTGTGTCGTTTGGTTAATACAATTCAATATTTTACACTTACAACAAAAAAAAAAGGTACAAAAGGGGATCCAACTGTAGTGGAAGTAATGATTTGCTGATTGGATTTGCTAATTTGGTCATTTAGAAAAGTTTTTAAATGAAAAAGAAATTTGGTTGGGTCTCCAAAATGGCCAAATGTTTTTTAACTTACTTCCCCTTGTTCATGTGGTCAATTTTATCAGAAAATCCCTGCTTTCAAAATAAGCATTTTCAGTGGACTAGGATACAAGACTTGTGTGGACTAGAAAAGTGAACGTGTATCCCTTATCTGATGGATGAATTTGTTCATAACCCTTCAATGTAGTAGAGGCAGTAAAGTTGTATACAAAAGGAATAATTAATATGATTAGACTAACTTTCTCCATCTTTATCTAGTTATCATCAAATGGAAGTTATTTCTTTTTTCTCTATAAGGGTAGAAAAATGTTCAAGGTTGGATGATATGGTTTTTGGTGTTTTCTAATGAAGTTCAATGAAAATAAATGGACTCATTATAATAAGAGTAGATATATGATTTCCTTCTTATGTAGTTAGTATCTGCACTTATACAGTGAATGTCACATTTCTGAAATATGACACTTGAAACATTTTTTTTACATTTGATTGAGAGACCACCTGAGTTTTATATATGGGAATGAGCATTTCTTATGTCATTAACTCATTATTTTGCAAACAAAAACAAAAACAATTTCTTGGACCCTGGAAATATTTATTTTACAGTTTCTTATGTCATTAACTCATTATCTTGCAAACAAACAAACTCATTATCTTGCAAACATTTATTTTACAGTTTGTTGGACACTACAAACAAAAATAGGGCAGTTTGTTGGACCCTGCAAACAAAAACAGCCCCTGCCCAAAATGAAACAAAAACAATTCACTCACTAATAAGGGAATGAAACAAACAGTGCCACAAAAGTTTACAAGGTAATAAAGCAAACTAATTGCATTTGGTTAATTTGGAAGAGTATGTTGATTTCAGATTTCAGTGGTCGGTCAGGTTGGCAAGCCTGGGAACATAGGTTTGAGTCTAAGGATGGCAAATTTGTGCGAAAAAATGCCAAAGGTTAGGACAGTACCCGGTCCATATCCCTGAAGACCACTCAATCTGTGGTGGTGTGCATAGACTGTTTTATATTTTGATACCCAAATCAGATTTTTGTTTAGTGAAAAGGAAATAATAACTCGGTCTGTCCAAAGAAAGGAAATATTAACTCAACCGGACCGATGCCTAACTAGTTACATGTGCGCAACAGTTATGACCCAATAAGGAAGAATAAAGCTTGAAGCTAAGAAAAGCAAAGAGCATAAAAATATTTGGGAAGATGGTCTGGAGGGCTGAGTCCTACGAGTAACTCAGATGAATTACCAAGTCCAACTCCAACTGTCAGCAGTCATTCATTCAAGACTATTCCAATTGGACAAGAGCCCACCACCAGTTGACCCACTGAGTTAAAACAGTGCTACATGAATGGCAGATAATTGAACCCCACCCCACTTCTTATTGTACACGCAAATGTAGGTARGGATCCTTAGTTCTTTACTTTCATATAATCTTTCTTAGGTTGAAAGCAATCAATCTGCTTAAAAAAAATGCAATTATTATTTGTTATTCAGTAATGAAGAAAAGAAGGGTAAAAAAAAAGTAAAGAAGAAGGGGAAAGGACATGACTCAATGAGATCCAGCCAAGGGAAAAGGAAGAGAATAATAGAATCATATCTCTGATTGAACATTCTAAGGTTTAGGCTCTAAGAATCCACACAATAAATGGTTCATTGTTTGTTGTTTTTATCAAAAAGGGACCATACAATATAATGGAGTGGCCAAACCCATTACCCTTCAACCACTGCCTCGGCAACAACAATCATATTAGTAAATTTTGAATGACTATGAAGGACATCCCTGGTATTTTTGGTAACTGAATTTGTTAATAAATACTAGTTATTAGTTTATATAACTGAATTCTAGCGCATTTGTGGAATTCATTGATTATCAGTTCTTAATGAGATTAGCTATCAAAAATTCTGAAATGAGACTCTCATTCTTTATCATGTATATGAGTACGTATGCATCATTATGATGATTTAGCTATCAAAAAAGAAAAAAGTGTAATGTGTGCTTTCATGTAGCTTTGATTAGTAACAGTGAAGGAAGTAAACTTATTCATGGTTAATGGTTGCTCTTTTTTTTTTCATTGACTACTTTTCCAGCATGTAAATTATATAGGCATTCTAGAATGAATTCCCTAATTTATTTATTTATTTTCTATAAATAGATGGAGCAAATTTTGCTTTATGCAATTGTTGGGGCTGCAACTGCTACAATTGCAGTTACATTTTCAATGTTGCAAGAATATGTGGATTATATTGGTAGGGAACCATCCGTGAATCGGGATTTTGAACGAAGGGATTTATTGGATAGATTATATGGACAAAAAAAAAAGATTATTATAACCAATTGAGAATGGGGAAAGCAGCCTTTGCAAGGCTATGTAAGATTATTCGTGAGACAGGAAGACTACATGATACAATGAGGTGTATGGTAAAAGAACAAGTGGCACGCTTCCTACACATACTGGCACACAACGTTAGGAATAGAACAATGGGCTTTCATTTCAGTCGGTCTGGTGAGACTGTGAGCCGTCATTTCAACAATGTATTGAATGCTTTGTTGAGCTTGGAGGATAGGTACTTGATTCAACCAAGTGGTACTGAAACACCTCCAGAAATTAGAAACCGGCATGATTTTTGGCCATATTTCAAGGTAATTAAGTCTTAAAGTCTTCTTTATGACATATACACCCACAAAAACGAATAATAAAAAACTTAAATCTACTGACAGGATTGTGTTGGGGCAATCGATGGCTCACACCTCCCTATTAAAGTCCCTTCTACGAATGTTGCTAGGTTTCGAGGTCGTAAATCTTATCCCACACAAAACATCATTGTTGCATGCACTTTCAATTTGTGGTTCACATATGTATTATTTGATTGGGAGGGTGCCGCATCGAAATCTCATATTCTTAACAATGCTCTGAGGAGAGAGCATAAATTAGAGGTCCCTCAAGGTAGTAATAAACTCTCACAAGAGACATTTTTATTTAATAGGTAAGTATGTACGTGTTTTCTAACTTTTTATATTTTAAATAGGTAAATATTATCTTGTAGACGCAGGATTTTCATTAAAGACTGGGTTCATTACACCATATCGAAACAAACGATACCATCTAAAGGAATGGGGTGCACATCAACCTGAGAACCCAAAAGAACTATTCAACCTTTGACACTTATCACTTAAAAATGCCGTTGAACGGATCTTTGGGGTATTGAAGAAACGCTTTCCAATCTTGGTATCTCAGCAACATTACCCCTTTAAGTCACAGGTGAAGATTGTGTCTGCATGTTGCATCTTACACAACCATGTCATGGGTGTGGATCCGTATAATTTCATCATGCATCAGTATGATCAAGAAACAGTTGATACTGAGGATGATGTAGGAATTGATGATTTAAATGATGATAGAGCAAACAATACACAAACCTTCCAACTATCAACGAGCTAGTAGAAATGAACAATCAAGGGAAGGAATTTGTCTCAAAGAAGAAATAACTACCCAAATGTGGGCTGATTATGTCTTATATCGATCTAGGGCTCGATATTAATTTCTTCTTGTTGTTTAACTCTTTCTTTCTAATATAACTTTTGTTATATACCTTTTTTTTCTATGTGCATTCACTTCTATAACTAATTATGATGTTTGACTTTATTAATTGCCTATTGCTATTTATACAAAAATACCTTGTATTAATTGGTGTTATGGATATATATTGTTGATTTGCATTATTCGTTTGAATGGCATGAAACAGAAATGGACTCTTCTAGCTCTCAGCTTGAAAACAAGAATGGAAAAACAAATATGAGTTGGACATAGGACATGGATAATTTACTCATTGACACACTTGCTGAGCAGGTCAACCTTGGAAATAAGGTCGACAAAAGTTTCAAATCATCGACTTACACTGCAGCGGCCCATGCTATTAGCACTAAGTTTTTAGTTGAATGTACTCAATGACACATACGAAATAGGCTGAAAACAATCAAGCAAAATTTTGCAATATTGAAAAACCTTTTGAATCAAAGTGGCTTTGCGTGGAATGATTCAACCAAGACAATAGATGCTACACCTGATGTTTGGGCTACATATATCGAGGTAAAATAGATTAACAACATTTACTTTAAACACTTGGTTTACAAATTATATGAAAGATGACTTATTATGGAATTCCCATGGTAAATGAGTAGACACATCCAGAGGCAAAGCAGTCTAGATGAAAAAGCATTCCAAACTATGACTAATTGGCATTGGTATGTGGAAATGATCAAGTGACTGAAAATGGTGCCTTTACAACCAAGGAGTTAAATAAGCAAGATGCAATTTCTGCAACTGCAACTAGTGCAACACCGAATGTTGAGCATGTGTTTGATGATATTGATGAGGCTGAGAATTTTGAAGATCCTAACCTTCAAGCAAGGCCGGTGGAGGCACGTAGTTTTGCAGAAGGAAGAGTTTTAGGAAAACGGAAGTCATATGCTTCAATTGTTTCTGAACAAGTGCAAGACATTGCTACACATCTCGGGAAAGTTGCATCTGCAGTTGAGAGAATGTTTGGTTTATTTAGCAAGGAAAAGGTGTATGTCGATGTTATGAGCCTATAAGGATGTTCAATGGCATTTTTTTATGAAAGCATATGACTTCTTAGCTGAGTCTGAAAGTCGAGTTATGACATTTTACGGAATGGAGCCACATTTGAGGAAGGCGTGGCTTCAAATGAAGTTAGACCCTCCATATTGAAGGGATGGATAAAAGACTTAAACTATTATAACTCACATTTATTAACAAACTAGGTACTAATTATATATGATGAAAAGTTGTTTTGATGGTTGAGCCTTTGCATCCATTTTGTATGTTTTTTTGGGATGCATTGGCAATTTGATTGTTGTCCCTTTTTTTGCGATGGTCAATGTACTTGTATTAGGTGGAATGAATGGTTATATTTTACCACAATGGATTTATTGGTATATGGATGATTATGACTACATGGAATGAATAGGTTGAACTATTGGCATTGATGAACTAATTACAGGTTAAAGACAAATTCAAATGATTTATTGATGTATGCATGACTTTTTAAATGAAATAGGTTATTGAATGCAACTTATTTGATGTACCAACAGGTCCAAATAATAGAGCAATTTTAGTTTCTAGTAGTTTCTTTTATGAATGCATGCACAGGTTTTTTATGGAATAGTACATTGAGTAGACCTATGAACAAATTCTATGATGAATGAGCAGGTCCAAATAATGAAGCGTTTCTTACTCTTTTTAAGTAAAAATTTTGAATGAGCAAGTTTAATAACACTAACTTGCCATGTGGCAAGTTCAATCGTATGTGTCATACATTTCGGGGGTGCAAGTTGTCATAAAAGTAAATTACATGCATTTTTATAGTTTAACATGATTTTTCTCCTATAAATTTTCTTGCAAAACAAACACTAGAAAGTGGATTTTCTCACAAAAATTTTCTCAGCAAACAAACATATTATAACTAATTGAGAAAATAAATTTTCCTCTTCTCATCCCATCATTTTTCAGTCCAATTTTCTCAGCAATCAAACAGACCCTAAAGAAATCAATCATCAAATCCATGTTTTTATGTGGCGTTGTCTTAAAGGCATTTTATCTTTAAAAGCATTCTTAACCAAAATCTCTAAGAAAATTGACAGATCTTGCCCTCTGTGTCTTTCTGTGGGAGATGATGCAGGTCATGTATTCATCCATTGCCAAGTTATAAGACCAGTTTGGTTTGGATCTTACTTAGCCATGCGCACAGAGGATAAACCAGATTGGTCTATTCTTGATTGGATGTCCTTTTGGTGGGAATAAAGTAGAAATAATCCAACGGATGATCTTGGTCTTTTCAATAAATTTGTTATAATCCTCTGACACTGTTGAAAAGTATATGCAAGAAGGCAATAGAGAATAAAGATTTCAACCCAATTGAAACTATTTCATTGGCCCATGCACATATTGAGGAGTTGGCTTCACTAAAAAGGAGGGAGAGCATTATTGCCTCTTAAAACAACCAAATGATCAACAACCATTGTAGATGGTCTCCTCCCTCTCACCCATTCTTAAAGATTAATGTCGATGGTGCAAATATGGATTCTTTTTCTGGGCTTGGCATCATCTTGAGAGATCACACCGGAAGTTTTGTATTTAGTAGATCCATTTGCATGGAAAGGATGGATCCTGACATTACTGAGGCATGAGCTTTCAGAGCTGGACTCCAAATGGTGAAGAAACTCCACTTCTCTCATATTCACATTGAAGGAGATGCACAAAAGATAACAAATATCCTGTTGGGCACCTCTCGAGATGTCCCTTGGCAACTTCACACAGTTATTGCTGATTGCATGAATCATTTGCAAGAATTTCATTATGTTTTAATCTCCTTTATCCCTCGTATAGGTAATAGGGCTGCCCATGTAATTGCAAAATTTGCTTGTCATGTGTGTAGGATCACTACTTGGTCCTTACTTCCTTGCTTTCTTATTCCTGTACTAGAAGAAGATTTGGTGTAATAAATTTAGCCTAAGGATACATGATGTTAAGTGATGCATATAATTGATGACTTGTTAAACGTAAGTATTAAATTGGTATGTTTTGAAACTTCGGATACTAAAATTATTATGTTTTAAAGTTTGGGATTCAAAGTACATGATAGTAATCGTCCCTCAAAAATATGACCTTGTAGGGCCATTTTGGTGCTCGAGATGATTGAAGAGATAAATTGGATGGGTCAGATTAAATAAATATTTTTTTTTTTTGATGGTAAAAAATAATTGATTAATCATAAGGATTAAGTTATTAATCCTATTTTGATGGTTTAATTTCATATGTTACATGTTATTCACTTCTTCTAAAGTCCACTTCAGCTTCCCTTGATAAAATTCTTTGAATCATTGAATGACGTTTTTAGGACAGAATCCCAGTTTCTTCGTTATACATACACAAAGAACAAAACGGTTCAGAACGAGCACTTTTATTTGCAACCGGCCAACCCAATTGCTTCAGGATCTTTTTGCGAACAATCAGCAAAATCTCGCGCCTAATTACACAAAAGCTTTTGTAAAACCCTAATTCCACACAATCCAAAGCCCTGATCAAGATGGATGGTCATTCCGCACATTCAACCGCACCCGTGCGTTCCAGGAGTTCTCAATCACCCTCCCCATCACATTCTGCCTCTGCTTCCGTTTGTTCATCTGCGCACAAGCGCAAGTTAGCCTCCGATGATCACGCTCCGGCCTTCCCATTCTCCTTCTCCGACACCCGAGATGGGGCTCTTACCTCCAACGACGATCTTGAGAGCATCAGTGCTCGGGGTGCCGATTCCGACTCCGAGGAGGATTCAGAAGTGGGTGACGACGAGGAAGAGGAAGATAACGATTCAATGAGGGTTTTCACAACTGCCAGATTGGAAACCAATGTTAATTCTAGGAACACAAAGCTGAAGTCGGAGAATTCGTCGATGAAAATGGATTCTTCAGGGCTAACAGAAATGGGTAAGGAAGAACGTGGGCCGACTGCATCAGCTGCTTCAGGTCCAGTGCAACCTGCAGCTGGTAATTCGTTTTCCGGGAGTGCGGTGAAAGAGGACCCAGTAAAGGGCATTTTCACAGAGAATATACAGACAAGTGGGGCTTACAGTGCAAGGGAGGAGAGCTTGAAGAGAGAGGTAATTTTAGGCTTTGAATTTGTCGATCTTTTCCATTTTTATTTGCTTTTTCTTAACCAATGCCTGAATTTGTAGATCGAAATTAACGGAAGCTATCAAACCATTTTAAGTTGAGATTCATTGAAACTTAACAATGTTAATCGTTCATAATCAAAGGCGGGTGTTAACAGATGGGAGTCTGATGAGTACAGGTTCCATGGGGTATCAAATAAGTACCAAGGGTAGCCAAGCCCAATAAAGGGTATCCCCTGTACATCATGTACAAGGAAAGAAAAAAAAAGCAAAACATATAATCTGTAAGGCCAAGTGTTCTTCGTTTCCACACCCTCTCTTTTTAGGGTTAGAAAAGGCTATGGTTGGAGAGGAGAAGGTTGGGTTGTGGAAGTTGGAGGTTGAAGATGAAAGGTGTAGGGGAAGGCAAAGGTTGGTTGGAGGTTGAAGATGATGGGGAAGGAAGAGAAAAGGGTAGGGAAGTTATTTTGAGAGAGAAGGAATGCTCTTTAGTGGGCCATGGGGAGGTTGGAGGTGAGAAAGAATTGAACTCATGGGTTACTGAGGTAAGAAGGCCAGAGGAGGTTGTTGAAGGATTGCTTTTGGCTTTCAATGTTGATGGCCTTGGGAGTGGGGCCCACCTCTTAAAATTGAAGTTGAGGGTTAAAGATACAGAGGTTTTACAAAAAAAATTTAGGATTTTCAACTGAAAAAGCCTAAAGGTTAAGTTTTCAAGTATTGGAAGGAGAAGGGTCCACTTCAAAGTTCATAGAAAAAAGACTGAGAATTGGGTTGGAAAGTCATTAGATATGATAGTGCAGAGAAGGAAAAGGTGCTCTTGGAGCCGGAGGTCTCTTGAAGCGAAGGTGTAGAGCAACGGAGCTCTATTAACTGGAAGTTTCTATCCATGACAAGTGATTCAAGTCCACATAGTGGATGTTTTTCTGTGGTGGACAAGGAGGGTGACCAAAAGGTAGGTACGGCTTTAAGCTTAAGTTTTGGCTCGTTTTGGGTCAAGCTTCAAGGAGGAGTAATTCAAGAAGGGAGGAGGGACTCAGTGATTCAATCGGATGCAAGGTTATGAGGAAAGAGAAAAAGGAGGTGGACTTGGGGGAAAAAGTGGTGGAAGATGTAGGGGGTGGGAGTGCTAAAGATGGAGATGGGGAGATAGGTGAGAGGGTTGAAGGTGGGAGCCAAGAAGTAAGTTGTGACCCTACGGATGTTAGTAAGGAAGAAGAGATTGGTAAGGTAAGAGGTTGTGAGGACTTACCAAGGTCTGAAGTGGTTCTTGGGAGGTTGGGAGTCAATTTGGGTTGGAAAAGGAGATTTGCAAATTCAGATGGTATCGGGGTTCGGGGGTCAGTCCAGTTGGAGGTGTTGAAGAAAAAAGGAATGAAGTTTGAAGGTTCAATTAAGGAGATAATTGAGAAAAAAGATTTCGAGACTCAAGTGTTAGATGGAGTGATGAACCAATGGCCCAGCTAATTGATGAGCTACAGACTCACGAAAAGGAGGTGGAGTGGAGAAGAATTCTGATGAGTCCATTTTAGATAGCGTGGAAGAAAAGGGAGGGTTGGTGGGGATTGAGGATTTAATTGCAAAAGATGTCAGAATTGGCAGGAGTTTAGGTCTGTTCTTTTGGGGTGGTAAATAATTTGCTAGACGGGCTTTTGGAGCTTTTTTTTTTTTTTTCTTTTTTTGATCAGAAACGGTAACTTCATTAATGAGATTTAAAAATCTGAAATACAGACATCAACCCCTTGTAGAAGAGGTTAGGCCTATAGACCTGAAATTACAGCACTGCCCAGTACAAACTCTCCCTTACAGTCCCTTGTTTTTCTAAGGTATGAGCTAAACCATTTGCTGATCTCCTTACCCACTTAAAGCACACACCCACCTCCCTTGTTATGCTAAAAATTTCCCTTATCAGCTGTCTATGTTGCCAAATTCCCAGATGCCCTGATTGCATCCACTCAATAACAAATTTGGAGTCCCCCCCATCTCAGTCTGCTGTAGCCCCAACTGTTTGGTCAATCTTACTCCTTGATGTAGAGCCAAGATTTACGTTCTTAAGGAATCTCCAACTCCTGCTGGACCTGAATAAAGAGGGAGGAGGGTCTAAAGAAGGGCCCAGTAGTGGAAGGAGGAGAGGCATGGAGCGAGGAAGGAGATGGGCAGGAAGAAATGTTTTTTTTGATCAGCAACACAGGAAAAATTCATTAATTAGAAAATCAAGTACAACAAGAAGTTGTGGCGGACAAGCATTCCACATTGTCCACTAAATACATCACAGCCCCAAACAAACCCAAAAATAATCCCTTTAATTATAACACAGACCAAAAGGTAACCCGACAGAAACATCCTACTAACTAGAATATAGCCCAAAACATAGATTGTCTTTGAACTCATTGCTTAGCTAGACCATCAGCCATGTTGTTAAATGATCTTCTAATCCATCTTATTTGAATCACCACATCTTTAGAAGCCTGTTTGAAGTGCCTGAACTCATTCCTTAACTGCCAAATTATTCCCTCCCCTCTCTTCAGCCAGTTTACCACAGTTTTTGAGTCCCCTTCAACAATCAACCTATCAATCCCCATTTCTTTGGCTTTTTCAACACCAAACACTGTTGCCTTCATTTTTGAGCTCACTACATCACCTTGCTAAATAGGACCTGAGAACATGGCTAGCATATTTCCATTCTCTTCCCTTATTACCCCACCAATGCTTGATGGCCCTGGATTTCCAAAACAGCTGCCATCAAAATTTAGTTTCTTCCACCCAACATCTGGAGGGGACCATGATGCAATCACAATAGATTTCCTAGATGCAGTGTTTGCAATTGTTCCCCAAGACTTGAAAAAGTCTTCTTTCTTAATATCAGCAAATAAATTTAGTGTTTTTACCCAATGTGCCACCCTTAGAGTTATCACTTCAATTACAGCTGCTTTGCTTCTTTCTTTGTCATCAAAGATCTTCAAATTTCTTTTTTCCCAAATTGTCCAAGCAACTGCTGCTCTAGTGCATCTTCCCATAATTCTGCCTCTCCTTTTAGATCACTTGAAGGAGTGAGAGCTAAAGACGCTTACCAAATTAGTAGGAGGAATCCATCTGCAACCAAGCAGAGAGGAAAACTACTTCCAAACGAAGTTAGCAAAAGGACAGGAAATTAAAAGATGAAAGGTAGTCTCACCAAACAGAGAGGAAAACTACTTCCCAACAGAAAGCACTGACTTTAGGAGGAATGGGGCGAAGCCAAATCTCCTTGATAGGGAAAGAATGAGAGGAGGGTGTGGCAACAAGAGAGTTCAAGAAGGATTTTCTAGAGAAAGACCCGGATTGATTGAGTGCCCAAACTCTATAGTCTGAGCAATTGTCCCCCAAAACCACTGCACTCAACAAGTTAACCAAAGTAGAGACACTAGACAATTCAGATTCTCTCAGATTTCTAACAAAACCCAGATTCCAACTCAAGTTTGTAGGTGAAGAGGAAGAGCTAATAAAATCACTAATGGGTTTTCCTTTAAGACTAGAAAGAGCAAAAAGGGAAGGGGACACTTTGGGTAGGGGGAATCGCCAATCCAAATGTCCTCCCGAATCTGATTTTTTGACCCAAAACCAAATCATACTTGATGTGAGGAAGGAATAAAGGAAGAATGTCATGGATGGCCTTCCAGGGAGCAGCCAAAGTAGCTCTATGCAAATAGCCCGCATCCCAACCATTGCTTGACAACCCATGGATACTTGAGATAACTCTAGTCCATACTTTCTCATTTTCTTTAGAGAATCTCCAAAGCCATTTACTTAACAAAGCCATATTTTTCAATTTCACATTTCTTATTTCCAAACCCCCTTCACCTTTCAATTGTCCCACATTTTCCCACCTAACAAAATGGTTTTTTCCCTCCCTAGGCTCCCACAAAAAGTCCCTCATGATCTTCTTGATTCTTTTTATCACAACTTGGGGCATCCTAAAAAACATGTAATAAACTGGAAGATTGGCCAAAGTGGACTTTATCAATGTGATTCTCCCTCCCAAAGAAATATAATTCCTTTTCCAACTTGCCAACCTTTTTTTTTTCAAACCTTTCCACTACTAGATTCCAAAAGCTAACCGATCTAGGGTTTCCACCAAGAGGCAATCCCAAATAACACAAAGGCCATTCCCCTTTTTCACAACCCAACAAATCAGCCAAAGCTCTCAAGGCACCTTCTTCTAAATTGATACCGACCACTAGACTCTTAGACCAATTGGTTTTCAAATTGGAAATCCTTTCAAAGAGACTCACAACTAGCTTTAAATTTTCTACACCTTCTCAGCTCTCCCAATCATCATTTGCAAACTGCAAGTGTGAGACCAAAACTTTGTCTCTCCCAACTGTCCAACCTTTGATCAAGTGCATCAAGTTAGCCTTTGAGATTAATTTACTTAAAGCCTCAGCCACCAAAGTAAAGAGAAAGGGAGAGAGTGGATCTCCATGTCTAAGGCCTCTAATCCCTTCAATGAAATCAACTGCAGTACCATTCACTAGGACAGAAAAATGACTTGTTTGCAAACAACCTTTAATCCATTTACACCACAATTCCCCAAACCCGCACCTTCTCATGATGTCAATCAAGAAATCTCAGTCCACTAGATCACAGGCCTTCTCCAAATCCAATTTTACTGCTACCCCTTCCCCTTTTGCCTTTTTTGAGCCTCCACACACTCATTTGCGACTAGGATTTGATCAATAATTTGTCTATCTTGAACAAAGGCTCCTTGGTATTGGGAAATGATAGGGGGAAGCACCTTTTTAAGCCTTAGAGCCAAAACCTTGGCAATTACCATATAGTTGATAGTCACTAAACTTATAGGTCTAAAATCTCTAGGCTAGGTGGCATCTTGCTTCTTTGGGATCATAGCTAAAAGGGTTAAATTCATCCCTGGGCTAATTACTCCCCATCTATGGAATTCCTTGAACATTTTCATCAAATCATTTTTTATTTTCTCCCAACAACCTTGATTG